CTTCCCGGCTCTGGGTAACCACGAAAGTGCTCCGGTCAATAGCTTTCCCCCGCCATATGTCAACCAGGTGGACATCTCCATTAGCTGGCTCTACGACGAACTGGATGTCCAGTGGCGAAGGTGGCTGCCCCAGAGTGTGACTCACACGGTGCGGCGTGGTGCCTTCTATTCCGTGCTGGTGCGTCCAGGTTTCCGGATCATCTCGCTGAACATGAACTACTGCAACAACAAGAACTGGTGGCTACTGCTCAACTCCACGGATCCCGCCACCGAACTGCAATGGTAGGAAAAAGTACTTTAATTATATAGCAAGTTGCTTAACAAACCTCTTCAATTTAAAGGTTTATTTACGAGCTTCAAAGTGCCGAGTTCTCCAATGAAAAGGTGCACGTCATAGGCCACATTCCACCAGGACATTCGGACTGTTTGAAGGTGTGGTCTCGCAACTTCTACAAAATCATTTCGCGTTATGAGAGCACTGTGACAGCTCAGTTTTATGGCCACACGCACTATGATGAGTTTGAGATGTTCTACGATCCTCATGATTTGAGTAATAAAAACCTTCTCATGAAACAACACTATATACAAATTAAACAATTTTCCCTTTTACAGATCATCCCAATGGAATTGCTTACATTGGACCCTCTGTTTCGCCATATTACGATCTGAATCCTGGCTATCGGATCTATTACGTGGACGGTGATCATGACTCCACCACGCGACTGGTCATCGATCACGAGTCCTGGATAATGAACCTCAAGGAGGCCAATCTGTACGGCTATCCCATTTGGTACAAACTGTATACAGCCAGAGCTGCGTACAATATGAAGGCCCTGCGTCCCAGCGATTGGAACAACCTGCTCAACGAGCTGACCAACAATCAAGAGCTATTCGAGCTGTACTACAAGTGGGTTTTGGCTTTATAAATTTTAGTTTTGTATTTAATGGGATTTTGTTTGAATAGATACTACTGGAAAAACTCGCCGGCGCGACCCACCTGCGATGCTGAGTGCAAAAAGCGACTGATCTGCGACTGCCGAAGTGGACGCTCCCACGATCGGAAACACTTTTGTGCCGAGGTCGAGTCCAAGATCGATGAGGAGTCCTCCAAGTCCTGGAAGTCCTGGTTCTACAAGGGACTGACCAACTCGTAAGCACTGTTTAGTTTATAGCTACGTGTTTTTCTGGTGTCGGTTGCTCTTATCTAATTCAACTTGTAATTGTAATTGTAATCACTTGCTTTTAGTCCTTATGCTGTCACTCGTGTGTTTGTTCACCATTTCGCATACTCATATATTTTAATTTTACCCGATAATAACAAACACATTTTATTTTCTGCACTGGTGTGGTTCATGCAACAACCAAAAATCGAATAAATTATGATCAAACAGCGCTCAAGATCGGACGGAAGTGCCGATGACAAGCAACGATACAGATTCAGATGGTTATGGCCCGCTCGATGTGGTGATTGTTAACGTTGGTGGTTGATCGATTAAGGCCTGTACATATAACGATTTTATATAGCTTCCATGACAATAAATTACCCAGATATTCACCCCAGAAACTCTTTCTTCTGCCGCAAAGCTATAGCCTGCTGTCCTCCATCACCTACCTGCCCAAATACCTGCTGGGATATCGCTGAGCTGATCCGATCCGATCTGTTCCGATCCGCCGGATCGAATGCAAGTCAATGCAACACCTACCCCATAAGTTTACTATGTGATAACTAGTGCTTAAATCCCATTTGTCTAAGTATACATTTAAACACAATGATGACCCAATGGCCCGGCACAAAAAACCACGACTTTGAAACCTTTGAAACGCCCCTCGAAAACTGAGTCAGTGAACAATAGTCATTTAACTGTAATCGATCGAGTCGTTGTTGTTGCCCGTGCTGAAGCATTTCGGTCGTGGCAGGTGCGCCTTTTTACCTTATGGAAATTGTTGAACAAATTACCTTTTAGACACCTAATTGTAAAGCTATTTTAGGGTTTAACATAAATAAAGTGCAATTATTTTTATATAACAAAGAAACGTTCTTACCTTTTTGTTGTTTTATTTAAATGTTTAAATTGATTAAGGTTTTATGATATTCGACATATTTACGCGCAATTTAAATTCAAATCTACCAGTTCTGTAAAACATTGCCTTGTTGCGTTTGTCAACACCGTTTTTAACATAACAGTGCGTTTACGGGAAATGTTAATGAAACATCAAAGTTATCGATAGCAGGGATAACAGTATTATTTACTGTGATTGGCACCATGTATCGGAAAATGGCGGTTGATTCAAAAACTGATAAGGCTTTAAAAGGTAAACATTTTTAATAAGATTGTTTATCTACAATTTTAAAAAGTTATTGAATCGTATTAATAAATCTAAAATTCACAATTTATACCTCTTTTAATTAAAAAAGTTTTTATATTATTTTCTTTCAAATAAATATTTGTATAAACATTTTTTGTTCTGTGGCACAATATTTAATTATTTAGAGAATATAGCGAACATAATAATAGTTAGCAAAATAACTAAGCCTTGTTTTCAAGCTAATATTGAACAAAAATTGTAACTTATATCTAATTCAATTATTTTTACACGCTGACGCTGTTTGTTGTGTTGATATTGGCAATGAGATGAGCACCCCGAACTACAAAATCAAACACATTAAAATATGTTTGTTTAAGCTTATTAATAATATGGACAAAATATACCCAGCTACCTGTTCGCAATGCACTTAACTCTTGGAATTTCGAACCCCAACCCCACAGGATAAGTCGACGCTAGTCCTTTGAGCAAACTTCAGGACCAGCACCCAGCGACAAAGGGCGAATCGCTGGGCAAACCCAAGTCGTTGTCAATACGCCCTGGTGGCCGTTGCCGTTGCCATTGCCGTTGCCCTTGCCTTGAGCTTGCTGAGCGGCCGTGCGTGTTTTCCTTCATTGGCGATAAGACACGCAGCGCGATGTGTGTGTAAGTGGGGATATCCTGGCTGCCAGTCATTATCCCTTTGTCACACATCCACACCCGCACGTTTTCCCACACTCACCCACTCCACACTCCACACCCCCACACCCCCACACACACGGACAGCATCGAGCGGGCAAAACAATTCCGTTTACATTTCCCACATCTCCTGCAAAACATATTCACATACACAACCCATAATACACACAAATGGCGTGTGCCGCCTTCCTTTTTTCCTGATTTCGAGGCTTGTTTTTGTTGCTTTGCATACTTTTAAAGGACGCTGCCGCTGGGAACCGCACATGTGTGTGTGCCACAAACAAACAAAAAATATAAACAAACAAACAGGGACCCCAAAACAACAACAACAACAACAACAACGGCGGCGAAAAGTACAACAATGCAATGCGTGCAAATTTTTAGAAAAATATACAAACAACAGCGGAGGGGGCGTGGCATTATCTCGTGTGACAGGCATATATATATATATACATTCACAGGATCTCGATGCCGCGTTTAAATGCCGCTTAACATATTTGATTTTTCTTCTTTGCCCATTTCGGTTTACCAATTCCTTTTTTTTCGCCCAATTTTTTGTCCTTGTTTGTTTGGGTTACGCGAATTGTTGTTGTTGCCGTCAAGCTGGCATATAAATTTGCATTTCGATAAAGCGCGAGAGTTCGCACATGTTAACCCATTAATGCCTGATCTATGAACTGAAAGAAGGTTAAAGTTCGTACAAATAAAGTGTGCTTTACTCTAAGCAAGCAACTAAAATGGTTTTCGTCCAATTTTCAATGGGTTAATTGGACATGCTGTGCCACTCCTTGCAATTGGCGCCTTCATTTGAATGCCAAAACACGTTTTTAAATAAATCAGCGCATTAATTATTCTCGCTTGCATAAATCGTTTCGCTGTCGATGCTGCCTGCCCCAGGAAAATTTTATTCCGACCCCCTCCAGCCACTCGAATTTCCGTTTTTCCGATTTTCCGACCCCCTGCTGCTGCCGACACCTCCGCACATTTTTATTAGCTACGCATAATTGCTGCGGCAATAAAGTTGTTTTTCCCTTTGCCCCCGCTGGCCACCAGAAAAACAAAAAACAAAAAAAAAACCAAAAGGGACCTGGACATGGCCAGGGAGCCCCCTCCACACCCACATCCACACCCATGGACATAGGAGCATCAGTGGGCGCGTGACCCGACAACATAACGACATTTAAGTGGCCACCGCAGCAGTAACATCGGTGGCATCAGCCGGAGTCCTTCCTTCTGCTCCAGGCTGTGGGCGTGGTTTCGGCCATGTTTGGCAACATGTTACAAAAAATTGATGCCATTGCTGTTTTTCCAGCTATTGTTGCTGCAGCTGCACACACAGTATTTATTGTTACAAGCCGGAGAGCAAAGCACGGGAATGAGTCAAAGTGGGTAAAAATATTTGCAAAATCTTTTTGGCCAAAAAAATATGCAGAGGCTTTTCCAAAAATTTTGCACAAGTTAAACGAGAATAATATTTGTTTTGAACGCTATCGCTCCTACAAAACACATTTGCATACAAGGGTGGTCAAAAGTATTTACACAAATCAAGTGAAAATATGCTTATAGTGGGTAAATACTTTTGACCACATTTGTGTTTAAGTTATTGAAAAAGTTATTCTAACTTTCGCCCATTAAAAAAGTTGATTTCTAAAAAAAAACTCAAATTAGAATGTATTTAAGAAATTGTAATTTAATTATAAAGTATAAATTAAAAAATTCTCTGTAAGGATAAAAAAAAAATTTTTAGAGAGGGATTCTCTTTTTAGTTGGCCAACTTTAACATTTTTTAGAAGGCTTTAACTCTTTTTATCGAAATAATTAATTAAAAAGGAAAAAGATTTGAAGCTTTTTCTGATTTCAGCATCAATTCTTAATCAGTATCAGACTAATTTCGAGCTTTTTCATTTCTTCTTCTGGTTGAATCTCTACTTTATATCCATTCGATCTGTTTCGTAATCTGGATCAATAAGGGCATTCTCATTGTTGGTGAAGGGAAACTAAGGGGGACTAATCGCTTTGGGATCCTCCTCTTTAATACTTAAAACATCGAAAATGTCCTCAAACGATGGGGTTTCCTCCAGTAAACCAATTTTACCCGGCACATCGATGCCCCTTAGGCGCATGCAGATCGCCTCGATGCTCCGCCAGTTTTCCACGTCGACCTTTGAGGGTTTTGGGTTCTGCATTTCCCGCAAAGCGCACTCGCAGAGGTTGTCCTTGTGCCAAACGGTTTTTTGACGACCCCTTTTGACCTCCTTTTTCCCTGCCACAGTATTTTTATTTGCCAGATTGTGTTGGCTGCTAGAGCTACACATTCCTTTGGGAACATTCTTGCTGCAGGTTGAAAAGTCCTCTTCCATAGGCTCCTTTTTCGCCGCTTGGGAAGTTGAAGGAAGCAGCAGCAATTCGGGCATAAGACTCCTTGCATCGTCATTCCCGCCCATCGGAGCAATGCATTCGGGCGGCAGAAGAACCCACATTGGATACTCGTTCGAATTATCCTTACTAGACGACGGCTGGCAAACTAAGGAGGACTGCAGGTTGGAAAGAAACTTTGGCATCACTGTCTTTACTGCAATCGTATTATCCAGGTTCTGATGGAAAACAAAGTCGTCGGACTGCATCGAATACTCAATGGGCGGTATATTACTGCCAGTCAGTCTGAGCTTCTCCCCCACTTTGGTATCGTTTTTATCAAGTTTGGGAAATATTGGATCTTCCTTTGGATGTTCCTCAATAGACAAATGACTCCTTTTTGTTGTAGTCAGCCTGTGGCTCTTTCTAACGGCTTTCTGACCAGCCAACTCGTCGTCATCGCTGGATATGATAATGCATCCTGAGCTATGTTTGTCCCACTTGGGGACAGTATTGGACTTAGGTGTATTCCCAGCATTTTGGTGGCTCTGGTTACTTATAAGATCATTATTCTCCTTGTTTTGATCTTCGCTGAAAGATAATGGGCGCTGGTTCCACTGTGAAGCATTATCCGAGCTTGTATTTGGAGCATCCTTCACAGTCTCATTTATATTACGGCAAACCTCCTTTGTCTCCTCATGCGCCTCATTTTCAGTGCTGCAGGGAAGCTGCGAAATGGCTGAAAGAGTGTTCACGGTCATCCGAGGACCTGACCCGGCGGATGATCCATTTTCTCCTGCGCCGGTGCCGCCCATTTGGGGAACTATTTCGACGAACTCGCGCCTGGGCAAGTGTACCGAGTACTTGCTTCGGACCCACTTCCTTCCTGGCTGAAAAGTAAATTAAATACTACAAATAAAATAAATGTATAAAGTGTTCTACCGATTCTTACCATTTTAGCTTTTCAACGCAAGAAATTCCCGGAAAATAATTATCTGACACAAATTCCCGGAATCCAGCAACGCATGCGCGCGTGTTGACAGGCAGGCACGAAAGAAAGATTCGTTGCCAAGATGGCGAAAATCACGACCAGCAGCGGAATCAGAGTTGCCAGTGTCTATTAAAATCGGGTTAATACTTTTTTATTATTTATATGTAAGCTCGTGTTTCAACAATTTACCATGCTTTCAGTTTGCTTTTAGGGCGACTTAGTACCTCGAATATTTGCGCTTGTAATATTTCAAAACCAACCAAGGGGCTGCCAACTTGCTGCAAAACTGTGCTTTTCAGACTATGCTGCCAGATAGAAGAAAAAAGGCGCTTAGTGCTGTCAACTGTTTCCTCAAAATAAATAGACCACAAAAATAAAAAGAAAGTATACTTCGTTTATTGGCGCACTTGTTTAAAACCATTAATATTATTATATTATTTTTGAACTTTAGAAAATCTATTGTAATACGCCTTGTGTTTGCGTTATATTTTGATAGTTTGTTGGTATTTAAATTTTATGATGGCTAAAACTTGACTTTGCGAGCTTTACAAATATTGTTTTAAGTCTCAGCTTCAAATATATGCTTAAAATAACCTTAGTCAAGGGAACAGATAACAATTATTTTGTGTGCGATTCTAAATGTGTTAAATAATAATGATTTTTTTGGAGTAACATGATACATATATTTTCAATTACGTTAGTCAAGGGAAAAGATAACAATTATTTTGAGAGCGATTAAAAATTTCTTAAATGATAATGATTATATTACATATTTTTTTTAATCAAATTAAAAATTATTATTGGGTTATATCATAAAGTTAATTTGTATGATTTTGTGTAATAATATTTATTATTTAATTTCTCTATTGTTTTTAACGGATAATGAACGCAAATTGCTTAGGCATCCCAAAATGTATTCCGTATAAAACCAAATGCTAGAGCCATGTTTCAATACCTATAACAATATATGTTTGTACATTGCTCCTCCAATCGGCAGTTGTCAGCCAGTTTTAACCATCCCGCCGTCACTTTCAGGCGCTGTCAATGTTTGTGTCGCTATTGTTTCGGCCTGACCAGCGTGTAAAGCGCGGAAAGAAAATGTTATTTAATTACTCAAGCAAAGAAATGACAACTGAAAATGTCGCCTGGGCGAGAGTGCTGCATTCAGGAGCCAGGATCCAGGATTCAGGATCCAGAGTCAGACTCAGCAGGCCTGTCAGCTTGTCAGGAGCAGGCGCCATGGAAAAGCCGCCAAAGGCACATTGGTCACTCTTGTTGCTGCTGATGCTGCTTTTGCCTTTGCTGTTGTTGCTCGCTTTTGTTTAAATTTAAATTCTATAAATAAATCTGCATGAGGGCACATGGTCCGAGAGTGGGATGTTTGCCATAAGCACGAGCAAGTGGATTGTGACTGCAGTTGGCATCGCTGTTGGCCACTAAACAAAGGCAGGCACTACTGTGTTGTCCCCGTTTGCAAGCCATTCCACTGCCAAAATCGCAGGACACTTAATTGTGGTAGCTGGAGGGTCTGGAGTCCAGGGAGACCAGTTTCTGTTTGTTTGCACTACTCAGTTTAGTTGATTTTAGGGCAAAAACGTTGTTTGGTTGTGTAATAATTAAACTGGGTACATAAGATTATTATTTCCAAAAAAAAAGATACCTGGGGTGGCATAAAAATCACTAGAGATTTGAAATCACTTGAAAAGATGTCCTAAAGTATGCTATAAAATTTGGTTGGTTAAAACGAAATGTATTGTTGCATACTTTCAGGCATCATTAAGAGTGATTTGAAATGCTTTATAAAAACTTAGCAAACAATCTTGACACATTGGAGATAAGAACCAAGATATCGGATACGCAGTGCTCAAAAACATGATTTGTCTTCACAAAGGTAGTGCATTCCTTCCTTTGATGTCCTTACATTTCGCCACATGCCTTGAGTTCTTAGTTATGTTCGGAGCACATCTGTCAGTCTGTCCATCTATTGCCTTGCCATGCGACAAAGTTCTTTTGGACTCTGTTCTGGTTTCTGGTTGATTTTTATTCCCTTTATGCCACAACAATTTGTTGTCCTTGCAACTGGAACCTAATGCATTCGATTCGACAGACTCGAACGCCTTGAGCACAATGTTAATCCGATGTAAGCTCGTGTCCCAAGTCCACAGATCTCCACGTCATGCTTCAATTGTTCTGCTCCCCGACATATTGTTCTCGACCAACACCCACAGCCCACATAACCCGGAACCAGAACCATCACATCTGCTCACCTTTGCCATCAAAAAGCAACCACAGGGGAGAACAGGACGAAAAAATAAAAAAAAAAACGAAAATAATCACAAGGATGGGAAGACGAAAAAACGATGTAGGTTGGTTGGTTGGAAATAGTAGTAGAGATAGGAAAGCGAGTAAAAAAATCTCAGCTGCAAATGACTTGTGTGCCATTGAGATAAACCCAAAATTTATTTATTTTTGCCATAAACCCGAATGCAGTCAAGGCAAAAAGGACTTTTGGCCAGCCATTGTACTGGTGTGTGTCGGTGTGTGTGTGTGTGTGTGTGTGTGTGGCAGGCATTTGTTGTGCCTGTATTTGTATTTGAGCTTTCGACAGCAACAACAACAACAAAAGCGATGACGATGGCAACTAACTACAAATCCGTAGGCAATTAATTTGGCTAGAAAGCCTAAAAATACAAAACAACCGCCCGCATATGTGTGTGTGTGTGTGATTGTGTGTGCTTGCGGAAAATGGGCAAAAATATTAAATGGTGGGTTGCCAGAGTGGAAATGGAAAAGCGCCGCCGTCAGCGTCAGTCAGTGGCACAAAAAAAGAAAAACGCCGAGAATCTCTGGCTAAGGAAAAAAGCAGTTTGAATGGAAATTCAATTGAGTGACATGAAAATGGAATTTTTCATATTTTTCCCCATGTTTTTGTTGCTCTCTGCTGAGATGAGAGAGCTTGTGTTTGGCTGCCAGGCACATCACAAACACAGTTTGTTCTTCATGTTGCTGCTGTTGCTGTTGCTGCTGCGGCTAACAACAACTATGGCATAGCAAATCGCTTGGCAGCCAAACCAGCAACATCCTGGCACCCACACACAGCTGAAAGATTATTCCCGTCCCTGTCATTGCTCTGCCGCTCTCTCTCTCTCTCTTTCTCTCTTTCCTAACAAAACAAAAAAGCGTTTGCTTCTGACATTTTCATAATTAGGTATTCAAAATCTTTAATAACGGTTACTCTTGCTGGTTGCTGCTGCTGTTGCTACTGCTGCTGTTGCTGCTGTTGTTGCTGCTGCTGTTGTTGCTGCTGCTGCTGAAAGCTGCCAGTTGCCACACAAATACGCATATTATCCTTATAGAGTTTTTGTGTCTTTGGGGCATACAAAAGCTGTGGCTAAAGCTTTGTGAGAATACATGTTGCTGCTGTCGCTAGTTGCTGCTGCTAGTTGCTGCTGCCGCTGTCATTGCTGCTCTTAATTTAAAATGAATTTATAGTTTGAGAGCGCACTGATGAGATCCTGTCAGCTCCTGGTTCCGCAAATCAACTTAAATTATTGAGCATTAAGCACAACTGTATAATTGCTGCTGTCATGAATTTAGCAGTTTTCCTCTTTTTATGTTTTCTCAAAAACCTCCTGCATTGTCGGCCCTTCAGTTGCAGTCAACATTTTTACGCTCTTCACTTTGCTCGCGGCTGCTAGGAAAAGTCCTTTCTTGGCTTTTCATGTCTTGGCCAGGACAGCCAACCCGCTGACGGCGACAATTTTAGCGCGTCTTTTGCCTCTGGATCTGGACAGGACAACCGCTGAGCAACTGTCTGCCCGACTGTCGAGGGCCCATCTTAATAAGCCGTCGCAGTGGGTGGCCGGTTTACAGGCGCCCGAACAAGGCCATTAGCATCCATGAAGTGTTATCTGCTGGCACTCAGTTGCCGATTCCCATATCAGGCCACTCCCAGTCAGTAAACCCATTGCCAATGCCCCCTGCCCCTAGAAAGTGGCACAAACACAGTGAGACACCCAAACAAACAGCTTCATTTTGACCTGCTGGCCTAGAGGACGCATCAAGTGGGTGGTGCTGGGTGGTGGGTGGTGTGTGGTTGGTGGTGGGTTGACTCTGATTTTGTTTGCTGCTGAATTGGCGCTGAGCAAACAACTTCCTTATCGCAGCGATACACGCTGCCTTTCGCCAGATAAACACAAGTGACAAGTGACGCATGTGCAGCAGCAGCATCAGCAGTTACACCAGCAACAACATGTCGTTCGATGTTTAAAATAAAAATTAATAATTCAATTATGCGTCAACAGTGTTCCGTTGTTTGTTCTCGCCACCACACCCCCTGCCTCATCCTCTTACATATACATTTTCTTCTTTTCCTCTTTTTTTTTGCGACTGGCCATTTGGTCCGGTCTGGTCGCAGCTGTTGCCTGCCGATGTATGCCACTCCAAATTGCCGTGATTTCATTCAATTTGTCGCAGCGGCAGCAGCAGCAACAGCAACAGCAACAAATGTTGCCACTTGCCAGCCAGGGCGGCCCAAAATTGTTTTCGTTTGCTACGTTTCACGAGAATATTCTGCTCTTCTCTCTCGTTTCCATTCGCCAGTGCGAAATGCGCATAAAAAAATGCTGTGTCCAACGCCCACCGACCACCCAATGTCCTCCCCTTCCCGCCCCTTCCAAATTCCAGCCCAATTCCAACCCAATCCCCCCCAGAAATCCCAGACGACGACGACGACGACGTCAGGCTGGTGTGCCAATGCACAATTGTTGTTTGTATGAGAAAATCTCGCCTAATGGCGTTTTACATTATTTGCCGCCTGATGCTGCTCTTCCGACGACGACGACGACTTCGCTGCCATGGCCAACTGCTACCAAGTGGCAGTAGTAAAAGAAGCGGCCTTCCACCCACCACCCAGCCACCCATCGACATGCCACCCAGTCACCCCGACCCCCTGGCCATGGATTTCCCAACTCGGAGTGCCAAATATTCCCTCTCTGCCGCTCCACGTTCAAGTTTGTGGTTCAGGATGCTTGGGTTTTCGCTTGTGGCAA